GTGGCCCATCTTGTTATTTACTATCTTTGGCGATACCAACAATATCGATATCGATACTATATCGATATTTTTTCACAAGAAATATCGATATATCGATATTTTTCGATAGGCTATCACAAATTTATTATCTGTAAATTGGAATCGCCATCAAATATATCGATATATCGATAATTATCGAGTCTGGTCGATATTTCCAAAATATCGATGCTCTAAACACGGTAATGCGGTGCTGAGTGGTGGCCATAAATTAATATCGAAATATCGATTTTTTTCACTGCTTCGATAATTTAAAATATCGATTTATTGATATTTCGGTTTCGATATGCCCACCACTGTTATGTTATATTACTTTAATAAAAAATAATACGAAGAGAAAGATAAGTATGAAAAGTGTAGAAGTTGTTTTTACTGCCCCTTCGACACCATTGAGACCATTTAGGTTACGGGTTTGGACCTAACATGCCAGAGCCAACCACGGCTGAGAGGGGTAGGCTACAGCGCCCCAGAAGAAAATTGAGATACACATGTACTCGATAAATTTCTCACCACTCGGTAATCGAACTCAGGTTTTCTACGTGCGACAACGAAGCGCCTAATCGCTAAGCCACAGATATGGTGATTCCATTATTGTTATTATTGCTGGTGAAGTTATTGTGGTTGTTGTTGTTGTTGTTGTTGTTGTTGTTGTTGCTGGTTTTTGCTTTTGTTGCTGTTGAGATGATGATGATGATGATGATGATGATGATGATGATGATGATGATGATGATGGTCGTGGTGGCGATGTTGCTGCTATGGTTTTTGCTTTTGTTGCTGTTGAGATGATGATGATGATGATGATGATGATGATGATGATGATGATGATGATGATGGTCATGGTGGCGATGTTGCTGCTATCGTTGTTGCTTTTGTTGTAATGGTGATGTTTTGGTATTGTTGTTGTTGTTGGTGGTGGTGGTAGTGGTGGTGGTCGGGGTGGTAATGTTGTAGTGTTGATAGTGGTGGTGGTGTGTTGGTGTTGTTGTGATCACGGTCGTATTGTCCTTCTTATAGTTACTAGTTTCGTGAGTATATCTATCTATCTATCTATCTATCTATCTATCTATCTATCTATCTATCTATCTAT